AGCTTGGTGAGCAGACTGCAAGGTCAAGAATCACTTCATGGAAGAAACAGGGTTACAATAAAAGAAAGTTTCTCTTTTTAATTCAGCTCTATCTGGGAATAAAAACAGGACAAAGCTATTGAGTAGAAATACTTAGAAGTATGCTACAAAAATTCAGTGTTGCCAACACTGTTGTCCACTGCCAAGCCTGGAGCAGAACAGATCATCCAGATCCCTCAGCTTCTGGACAACCTTCTGGAACAACCTACTGCACGTGTGTAAGAAAGGCTCTATAGAGGCAACACCCCACATGTGTCTTTGTCAACGCACCACCTACAGACCAAGCTGGCTACTCTGCAACAACACTGGATCCAAGGGTGGTGATTCCCCTTTCCCTATCCCCTCCTCCTCTCTTTCCTCTTTCTTCTTTCTCTCTTTCTTCCATATATTCATGTGTGTAAGTTTTGTATGAATTGAATTGTGATCAGTTGATCACTGACAGGTAGGAAAATAGTCTCACTGCCAAAGCGCCTTTATTCATATTCCCTCCTGGAGGGTTATCAGTTGATTGTTGCCAAATTGTCTCCATTCCCTTACTAAAGTGGTCAGTTAATAAAGTCACCAGCACAGCTGTTCCTCGGAGTCACTGTGGTGACTTGGCCGCCCTGCGGCTCTGCCAAGCAGACACCAGCTCTTCCACCAGCACACGGGCTCTCCAGGAATTAAAATTCACCTCGCTCGTAACCCACCGTGTGGGACGCGACAATATGCATTTTGCAATATGCAAACCAAACATTTTCTACTGTTATTAACAGAGGCATATCTTTTTATTTGTATGGTTTCTTGTTTTCATTTGTATTGTCATATTGTCAGGGGATGCAGGGTAAGTCTCTCTCCCCAGATGAAAAAGCCTGACTTGCCCCTCCGCTCTCCGGATCACAAGAGACACAAGCTGTTCCAGCCCATAGGCAGTGGCACATTACCACATATTCTGAAATGCACCGGCTTATCCACTTCAGACCATGCTCAAGTCTTCAGTGCTTTAAGACTGCCACCTTACGTTGTGGGATGGAGTAACACGCTCCTTTTGTGCGCAGCAGTGCCGTTTGGAAGCTTTCAGTTCCCATTTAGGATGATGCAGACTAAACAGACCGATCACTCAGCTTTCCAAGACTTTTAGGGTCCCGATACTTTACACACACACACACACACACACACACACAACCTTGCTTCTGTGATGGCAATACAATAAGAGAACCCTCAAGATCCTCATCGCCCTCTACAACTCCCTGAAACCAAGTACTTTAACCAAGTAATAAGTGATAGGACACGAGGTAATGGCCTCAAGCTGCACCAAGGAAGGTTTAGACTAGATATTAGGAAGCGTTCCTTTACAGAACCAGCTGTTGGGCGTTGGAATGGTCTGCCCAGGGAGACAGTGGAGTCCCCATCCCTGGAGGGGTTGAAGAGTAGACATAGCACTGAGGGATCTGGTGTAGTTGGGAACTGTCAATGTTAGGTTAATGGTTGGACTGGACGATCTTCAAAGTCTTTTCCAACCTAGACAATTTTGTGATTCTGTGAGATTGCATCTGCATTTCTGCACCAAAGCTAAAAGACAGGATGAAATTATCTCAGTCCTTGAGGGTTCTGCCTCCAACACCTACCTGCTCTTCCCCATGGAGCCTGCTCCACCTTCTAATTTAGTGACTGCTAATCTAGTTCTCAACAAATCAGAAGTACACAGATTTTTTTTTTCAACTACAGCTTTTTTTTCCCCCCCCCACTATTATTATTACTACACTTACAGGGCTATCTTATACACACTTGAGAGACACAGCTGCAACTAGTGCATATAATTTAAGGACTGAAAAGCTATCACTGTTCAAAGAATAAACTACACTAAAAGGAAACAAAACTAGTAACCCTCTTTTCATGAGTCAAGCTACACTTATAAGTTATTTTTCAGATTTCAGAAGGAAAGAGGGGTCTCAAGATCCTTGCCTGCCTGTTTTTCTGTTCACCCACACTTCCTCCTGATCTTCCCATTCCCAGTGTTTACTTTGTCTGTTCACAGAGCAGACACGGGACACTGCAGAGGCCACCACCACAGCATGCTTGACAGGCTGCTCAGTTGGCCGTTAATGACCTGCACCCTAATGTATTTTTCATTTAGCTCTCTAGTAGGCTGAAGAAAGGACACAGTGAAGGAGTTGATTTAATCAGTGATCTAGCGTAACCACTGCTTTGACTCCACCACTACCAAAACAAGAGGCATCACCAAGTCCCACACAAGCCTTAAATTTCCACATGTCAAAGTGATCATTTGACAGCACAATTTCTTAAGCTAGCTTGGCTGTAGAGTGGTCCCTATCGCTGTTTCCTTCAGCCCACTTTCATTCACAGCAACTCATCCCCAAAGCTAAACTTACTTATGTTAGCAACTGCCAAGTTTTAACCCATTCACGACAAAATGAACAGAGGGGTCTCCTTCGTGCTGGCTTATGTGCAGCACAGGTATCATTCAAAAGGCCCCTGACTGCTGCTGCCACACAACGCAGCAGAGTCCTGCACACTCCCATTTCCAACCCTGCACGGCCCCTTCTCTGTGCTCACATAACCGTTAGAGCAGGACCGAGGCACTAATCTGGAGGAAAACTTTGGGAAAAGTCTACATGTACATCTCAAAAGCAAATTTTCAACACATTTACCTTCACACTACTAAGCTGGCACTCTGTTAAAAACAGACATGTCAGCCCGATTTTTCCAGGTGAATCCTAAAAGTAAATAAGATAAACTACTTACACTGTTTACCTAGTGATAACTCCCCTTTAGATGAAAGAAACCATGTCATGTATTAAACATGACCTCAACATTCCTGCATCACCCAGAGCTCCAGTGATGAGCACAGAGCCTCTCTCTGCATCTCATACTAAAGGACAACAAAAAAACCCAACTAACTGAGAATTATGTGACTTAATACACAGTTCTTCTACCACGGTTAATGTCCAACTTGGATCCTCAGTCAGCAAACTCTTAAAGGAACAAAACTTCTTTGCTGTCTTCTCTACTATAAAATGGTTAAAATCAACTTTATGGACTGTTCCTCCAATCCAAAACATTAATGCTACTCCTAATTTCAGTCTGCCAACTAAAAGGGAAAAAAATAAATGTTTTCCAATGGGTTATCATGTAAAAAACTACATACAGATAGCCTCAGAGATCCATGACTCATGCTTTTCCTTCTGAAATATCAAAGCTATTAATATCATCCTGCTGGGTGTTAGGTAAATCTACTTTAATATACTGAATATAGAAACAAAGTCCCAGGGATGCCAGGAATGCAGAACATCTACCACATGTAACTAATGTTTACATATCAACATGAAAGCTGCATTTGCTGGTTTTACGTTAAAGCTACTTATAAATTGGTTTCTATCAAGTATTTAACAGCACAGTATTTATACAATCTTATGATCATATCCTTGATATTGTGTAGTTTTATAAACATTTCCACACTTATCTGCTAAGGTAATTCATGTAACTGATCACTAAACTGTGAATTTGTAATTCCTCAGTTTGCATGAGAAACATGCACACAGATTGTAAATTAATTCTCATATGAATGCACTGCATTTAAGCCTAAATCAGATCTCAAATGAAAAAAAAAAAAAAGTTACCAGCGCATGAAAGCAAATTTAGGTAATTCTGTGACACAAACATCACAATCTGTAACTGAAGCCTTTGTTTTCACCACACAACAAATACCCGTTTCGTTGCTATTTTACTTCTTCCCATCATACTGATTCAGACAAGACACGATCAATGTCAAACAGATACTGAGTCACTCGCTACTGCTGACCGATAGGAGTAAACAATACACAGAAATACCACAGGCATCTCCTCTCTAACTTGTAAGGAAATATAGGGATAGTTACACCCATGACATTACAGAGGCAATTTTGAGGACTGCGCTAGTCAGTGGATGGAATAGCACTGCTATTATTCTTCCACTGACACAAAATGACTGTTGTCACATCATGGCAATAAATCAGTAATCACTTTATCACACCACCATCCTTTGGAGACACCCGATTATTGCATCAAGTCTAGTAATGGTTACTTGTAAGGCCTAGTATCTTCCTACAGCTACAGTGTTGTTCCCAAACTACTCCTCTGCTGTAAAAGAATGAGAATGGGAAACTAAATATCCTAGATGAGAGTTGTCGGACTGGCCGGCTGAACTACTGACACTGGATTCATGGAGCAAATCAAGGCATTTACAATGGGACATAGTGTCTTTTTCCTGTTCTTACAGAGCACCCAGTATATCACCTAAAGTCTGCCCTTCTCCAGTTACAATGAATCAGGTTTCTTACAAGGCTGGGTTACTGTTACAGCTCCAGCCTCTTGGACACTGCAACAGCCTGCTCTGGTCTAGGATCACTAAGTGTTCGGATTGTTCTATAATAATTCTTCTTCTGTAATTACATTTCAGCACCTTTAATCTGAACAGAAAGCTTTAACAATGCAAGAAACTCAAATCAAACATATGCAGATAGACTGCCATGCTGAGGAGTTTAGGTAACCAGATAACAGAATGCATCACTGGGATGCTTGCAACCCCTAGTCTTCTAATTTGGCCACAGATTATTTTTAGCAAGGACATTTTTAAACAAAAACCTCATTGTTTTAACTCAATGGCCTCTTCTCAAACTGTGCAGGAACAGAACACCATTATCAGACACAGCAGCTGGCTGTCCCTTGAAGGTCTGTGTGGATCAGTAAGTTAAAAGATGAAAACACATCACACTGGGCAAAAGAGAAACAATGGAAGGAAAAACAGTAATACTGCTCTATGAAAAATTTCATTCTCTCCATTAAAATTCTCCTAGCTCAAACTCTCCTAACTTCGTTATGTTTGGAAGTAAATTACTTAACTTGTATTTACATTATATCCAACTCAGGATTGACCACAGGAAGAAAGTTTGCAGCCAAAGCACAAAAGCCATTTCATTTACCTTTTGCTCTCTTCCACTGCTTTGTCCAAATGCTGGAAGATATCTTGGAATAAAATGCAGCTAGAGCGACTGTTGATGTCATAGCCATATCCTCTCTTCCAGTATTGCTTCAGGTCATTCAGGTATTCCAGTACCTAAAGTTACACAGTTCACAAGTTTTTATTATTGCACTAAGGGAAAACAAAGCCCCAAACCTGAAGCAATGATGCTACCACACACGGCATGAAATCAACAATTCTCTGACACAATAAAAACCAAACCCCAAACATCAAGGTTCCAGTTGAAACCACTTCAGCCTGAACCCAGACACAACAAATCAGAGTAAAGAGCCACCAAATTCAAAATTAAAATTTATTTCTGACCGAGCTCATAATCAGGCACAGGGAAAACAGCAGGCATGCTTCCCCAAACTCCAGTAATTTTAAGCCCAGGGCTTTGAGCCCTAAGGTGGTTTTCTACAAATTTAATAGACTTCAGTGGATTCTCACTCATAATAGCCCAATCTCCCCTTTGAACACAACAAGTTTTAGCCTTAATAGTACCCTGCAGCTTGGCTACATACAGTGTCTGTTGTGAACCTGCCTGCTGCTAGCTTCATTTGGTACCCGTTAGGTACTGCACATGACAAGACAATCACCACCCACTGCCTTTTTTTTGCATTTCTGGTTTTCTCTTACAAAGGCCTTGGTTTAGTTAATCATTCTTCAGATGGAAGCAAGCCCACACCTTTAACTGTTTGTCTATTTCTACATTCTGGAGATGTGCACACATCTCAAAAGGACAGAACTGTGCCTTGGATTTATGTAAGAGAGCATGATGCTCTCTCTGTTCTCTGTTCCTTTTCTTATAATTCCTAGCATTAAAGTTGTTTAATTTTTGTTCATTAATTTTACTGTAGCTGAGCCAACATCTTCATGGGTCTAAATTTCACTTCTTAGTGGCACAATGCATCTGAGAGGCAGCCACCTCGCCTATGAAATTTTAGCTTCTTATCCCACACATATCACTTCACAGCAAACGTCACCTGCCACGGTACTGCTGTGTAATTCACTCTCACAGGCTCCCCTGCAAAGCCTCTCAAACACCCTGTATTCTCACTATCCCAAGTAACTCCATATAATCAGGAAGCTTTCCCACCTCGCTGCAAAGTTATTTATAAATATATTGAACAGCACAGGGCTCAGCAGAAGCCCATGGTGACCCTGCTCCTCTTTCAGAGGAGAGCATTTACTCCTAACTCCAATATCAATCCTTCAGTCAACCACCTATTTATGCAGAGGCCTCCCCTTTCCCAGGGGTACTAAGTTTCCTTAAGAGCCTCGGAAGGGCCTAATGAACATCAAAGAGTACATCAGGTGCGATTAGAAATAAAAGAAACCAACATAAGTCTCATTTATCTGTGTTCTACTGGTTTTATTCACAGGTATTAGGTGTAAAGATCTGATAGTCTCCAAAACCACATAAAAAGAGTCTTAGAGGACCTAGAAGATCTCATTTGATGTCCTACGGAATCAAGGCACTGAGAATCATATGCAAAAGAAAGCTGTCCAGAGCATTTCTGATGTTACAGAAATAAAAGCATTATATAAGCACAATAGGAAAAGACAATTTTAAAGGGAACAAATCAAGACTGCACCAGTACTTCAGTCTGAACAAAGAAGGGTATTTCCTGCTCTTTGGAGACCAAAGAAGTGCTTCATTAGGTTGCTGAAGAATAAGGAGCACACAACTTACAACTTCTGACCGTGAAGAAAGTGTATCTGAACACTAAGGCACCTTTTGAATGATTCTCAAACATCCCATTTAGCACATACCTTGGCATCTTCTTCACTGAAGAGTGAACACCATGGGGAAGTCACATTTTTTATAGCCAACTCATAAGAGCATGTGAGAAAAGCCACTTGAACAAGATCTGCAATAAATCCAACAAACAAGCAAAAGATAAACCACTGCTACACAAGTAGCAACTTTCTTCCAACTTGCCTCTAAAATGAATTGCAATTTGGCAATGCGAACAATGCAATGGTTGAACTAAATGACCTTAAAAGTCTCTTCCAACATGATGATTCTGGGAATCCAATAAATAATCACCAGTCCACCAAAGGCCAAGCACCAAACCATAAACGGTTTTCAGCAATTATGGTACAGAATCCAGATTTCAGACTGCAAGCTTTTCACATTGCTATAAGGGGGAAATGAGAGCATTTCACACCAACCACTGCACGTCTGCTGATGTACATGCTATTGGTGTCAACCACGAGAGCATCCTCATCACCACAACCGACAGAGTCAACACAGGGAAGGGCGGGGGGG